GTAGGATGTTATTATTGGAAAACTTAAAATAAAGTTATTTATATTTTATTATGAAGATAAAAAAACATAACTTATGTTTTTTTATGTTTATTTTAAGTTATCTAATCAATAAAATAGTTTTTGTTGAAGTGGCTCAAAAAATTAAGTTTAAAATAATAACAATTTAGACGTGTCTAAAAATAATAACCATTTAGACAAAATGACATTGAGTATAGTTGAGTTGTTCATTTTAATTTTAAGTTAGGTTAGCTCTCTAATCGGCAAAACAAAATTTATAGAAAAAAAAAATTCTTCAAAATGGTTTTTGTTTTAAAGGGATTCCCAACTGCCGAGACAAGTTGTATTCATATTAAAGAAAATGTTAAAAAAAAAACATTTGGACTAAATTTTTTTGATTAAAACTATATAATGAATGCACACCATTAAATTTAAAATTCACATTTTAGTCGAAGCTCGCGTTCTCCTTTTTTTTTTTGTTCTCGGCGTCAGTATAATGTTAGCCGCAATCTGCAGACTTGATTATTTATTCAATGCGTGTTTAATTCATAACAGTTTCGGTATATGATGTCATTGTATAAATTTTTTCTTTCAAGATGTCGTATTAATTTTTTGCCAAAATCACCTAATCATGTTAATTGTATAACATTTTACTAAATCCCCAAAAAAGTTTATGATGCAATTAAAAATTAAATTTATAAAAATAAAAATGTAATATGTACCAAATATTTACAGTAAGCGTAGTGGTTTAAACTAAATATAAACTAGATTCTAAAAGAATAATTTTACAAAAGCGTATAAGTTAATATAAAGTATAAACTAAAAAAAAAGCGAGTGACCTGAATAAAACATATAAACTGAACTAAGGAGAAAATAAATATTAAACGAAGTATTTTCCTAATAACCGTTCAAATCAAACAAAATTAAAGTTAAAACAAATGTTTGTACTAAAATATACAAGTAATACTATATAATATTAATGTAATAACAAAGAATTTCATTCAATTGTTCGCTACCAGGCAAACAAAAATCTTTTTGTAGCAACCGCACATTTTTTTGATTAACATTTGAATAGCATAACATTGACAATTAATTGAAATTCGATAATAAAAAAAGTTTTTAACACGCATCTTTAAACAATAATAAATGCAAAGTGCTCAAAACTATTGTTTTTGTAAGTAGTAACTAAAACATTAAGTCCCAAACAAACCTCATTTAATGAATAAAAATAATATTTTTTCTTAAAAATACTTTGGTAATTACTTAACTAATACTTAACACTTCTACAAGTAAAGTTTTACAGTGTTAACGCTGTTTTATTTTATAACTAAATTTAAAGTTTTTTTATGAAGGATTTTTTAAGATTTTTTAATTTAGTGATAACTTTTTTATAATTACACAATATTGCTCTTTTCTTAATACACAATATAGCTTTTTTCTTGATTATGTAGAGAATTAATTAAACCTTCAGAACAAACAAATTCTATGTGAATGGAAATTTATGTACAAAACAAGATAAATTGTAAAGCCTACTCGAAAGCTGCTACCAGTTCCTTGCGATAGTGAAAGAGTTAAACCATAACTAAATGTAAATTAAACATAAAACAAACAACTTTATTGAACCATATGAAGTAAATATAAAAAGAAAAACTGTATCATACTGCCTTTATTTTTTCTCTGCCTGCGAACTCTAAAAATCACAAAATATGTATAATTGTGTCATGAATTTGGCTGGCTTCTACAACAAAGTAATAATAAAAAATTTATAAATATAAATATACAGCGGTAGCCAAAAATTAAAGACTACTCATTTTTTAGTTGGTTTCTTAATCTTTAAACAAAATTAAGAAGATTCTAATTGACATATTAAATTTTTTTTATAATAATATGTTAATTAAAACATTAAAATTTTTTTTTAAAATTAATTGATTAAAATGGTATAATTTAGCAGAAAAGCTCGGAAGGTCTCACTCTTGCATTATTAACATAATTTAACGATACAAAGAGACCGGGTCAATTAATGATCATCATAGGACTGGAGGCAATAAAATTTCAAATGACCATGATGTTCGCTTGTTAGTGAGATGAATGAAAGAAAACATACAAGCATTATCTACAGACTTGTCTATGAAATGGACACTGTCAAATGGTCTGAAAGCAAGCCCTAGAACTGTGTGAAGGGTCCTCCACAATTTAAATTATTTATGGCGTGCTGCTGCAAAAAAACCACGCTTAAATAAAAAACAAAAATTTGCCAGGAATAAGTGGTGCAAACTACATAAAAATTGGTCAACAGATCAGTGGAGCCGTGTGGTCTTTAGTGATGAAATGAACGTTGAGGTAGACAACAGAAAAGGTTGCGTAATGTTGCGTAGCCTTCCAAGCGAACTGTTCGATGAATCATGCATTTTGAAACGAACAAAACAAGGCAGTGGTTCAATAGGCATTTGGGCCTGTATGAGTGCCTGTGGAGTTGGCGTTTTTCATTTACTCGACGGTAGACTCAACAAAGAAAGGTACATTGAAATTTTGGAAAACTCGCTTATTTCTAGCATTGATTTATGGCAGTTGCAAGATGGATTTATTTTCCAGCAAGATAATGCGCTGTGTCATAAAGCGCATGTTGTTAGCGATTGGTTAAATTCTAATAAAATTCAAGTGCTTCCATGGCCTGCCAATAGTCCAGACTTAAATCCAATAGAGAATTTATGGTCGTGGCTTGATTAAAAGCTTGATAAAGAACAACTTTACAATTTGGAAGATTTGAAATCTTTTATCTCTCATCATTTGAATAATGTGCCAGATGAAGTAATCGAAACTTTAATGAATTCAATGCCAGAACGAGTACAAGAATGCTTGAAAACAAATGGAGGAACAACATGTTTCTAAATTATTTTTTTATTGCTTTTTGAAATATTTTTGAAATGGTCTTTAAATTTTGTCCTATTTTTTTTTTCCATTTATATTTTTTACTAGTCAGTTTTTTAATTTTTTAACATTATTTTGTAAAAAAATTATAAATTTTTTTATAATAAATATAAAATACAATAAAAATTCTTTCTAAAAATGTTTTTCTTTTTTTGGTATTTTTTTCCAAAATAAAATTATACTTAGGTTAAAAACAAATTTTGAAAAAAAAAAGAGTGGTCTTTAATTTTTGGCCACCACTGTATATATATATATATATATATATATATATATATATATATATATATATATATATATATATATATATATATATATATATATATATATATATATATATATATATATATATATATATATATATATATATATATACATTTGTATAATTTTTTACTAAGTCATAAATATTTTTTGTGATTCAGTAAAAAATTATACAAATATTTGATTTTCTGATTGCAGTAGAAAAAATACTTATATCTTTAAAAAAAATAACAAAAAAACGCTATCGAGAACCAAAAAAAAATGGATAAGGCGAGCTTCGACTAAAACAATAATTTTAATTTTGTTGGTATGCATTCATTATTTAGTTTCAATCAAAAAAATTTTGTTCAAATGTTTTTTTTAAACATTTTCTTTAATATGAACACAACTTGTCTTGCCAGTTAGGGATTCCTTCAAGTCTTTGTTTTAAATTTCTATGCCTTTGTTCATTCTTTGATGTAGTTTATATTATATAATCTCAGGATTGCTTAGAATAATAAAGATCGAAAGTTTAAAGAGGGTGTTTATCTAAGCCTACTATCCGTACTAAACCTAGATTGTTATATAACTTTAAAAGGTCATAAACCCAACTTCCTAAACAACTCTACTGTGCGTCTTTTAAATCTTGCAAAAAATGAGTATTTTTTTTTTAAGGGTTTTTTGCAACCAAATTTGATGCAAGTTGAAAAAAAAAACAAATTATATTTTATAACTATTTATCAACAATTGAAAGTTTTGATATGCAAATTAGTCACATTTTTTATCAGCCCGTAATTTAGAAACTAATTTTCGATATATGCTAGAACTATGAGAAATTTTGTAAATTTTTTTTTACGTTTGTTTTCATGTTTTTTCGCTTTTAAAAATATTTTTGTTATATTTGAAATTTTTTCTCAATACTTTTATAATAGGAAGTTTATTTATTTGCTATTTCTTTGTAAAATATTTTATTTGATTAATAAATTTTTAAATGATGGAAAAATTAAATAAAAGAATTGCATGTTTTCTTTTATAAATGTATTTACCACACTTGATGCATATCTGAAATTGTTTCCTTTATATTGTGCAATTTCCAACGTTAATACAAAATACTAGAGATAATGAACATAATGATTGCTCTGTTTGAAAAAATGTATTTAAAAACATGAAAAAAATAGGCTCTCAAAAATTAAATTACAAAGCATTAGCCCACAAGCTTTTGGAGCAACGTCAATAACAATAGTTCATGGGGAAATAAACTATCAGGTTTAAATGTACAATTTGGAGAATCCAACAAAAATGCAGACTGTTTTAATTGAGGTAGTGAAAACAACCAAATAATTTATATTTGAATACTAGTATTAATGAGTTTTTATTTTTACATAAAAAACTTGTTAAAAAAATAAAAAAAGAAATTTTACAAATAAATATCAATTAGTTTTCTCACTTTCCAGTGCATTAATAAAAACAGTAAAGTTTAGCAAAGATATTTGAAATCGAATTTCAAAATTGTCCATATTTCTAGCACAAATAGTAAAGTGTTTCCTTAATTGGACTACCAAGTCCCGTGACATGTTGTGTTCATATTAAAGAGAATGTTAAAAAAAAAAACGTCTGAGCAAATTTTTTTTTATTAAAACTAATTAATAAATGTATACCAAGAAAATAAATCTTGTTGTTTTAATCAAAGCTTGTCTTCTCCATTTTCTGCAGTATTTGGAGTCTGTAAAATAAACCAGATTTTCCAGGCGCATTATACAGACTTGATAATTTATTCAAGTGCGTTTAATTCATAGAAGTTTTAGCACATGGCGTCATAGATTTTTTTGATTGTTTGT